CTCTGTTTGCACCATCTTTCATACTATAGTTGCACAACTGAATCGAGTCACACACATTGCACTCTTGTTGCACTCCATTGCACACATTTAATTGGGTCGCACACATCACACTGTTACACACTCAGTTGTACACACTCAGTCGAGTTACACTTCGCATTATAGTTGTCTTCACTTAGTCGAGTTAAAATTTAGCAATATTCTGTCACAAACATTGCACGATAGTTGCATTTGCACACACACATTACAAAGCACAATAGTTGCATCACACACTGCACTGTACAACAGTACAGCACATACTGCACAATAGTTGCATTTGCATCACTTACATCACATTGCACAATAGTTGCAGTATAAACACAACACAACATTTGTATCACACACATACACTGCACAACAATTGCATCACATATACAACACAACCGCAATCATGCTAAACTAGGCAAGATCGGAGGTCTTTAGTAAAAGTTGTGCGTATGTTTGACATCGGAATGTGTTGTCATTCATTTCATCTTTTATGGTTGACATCGGAATGTGTTGTCATCCATCTCATCTCATCTGTTGACATCGGAATGTGTTGTCACTCAGTTCAGTTTGCTTAACATCGGAATGTGTTGTTATGCATTCACCTCATCTGTTTGACATCGGAATGTGTTGTCACTCAGTTCAGTTTGCTTAACATCGGACTGTGTTGTTAGGCATTCACCTCATCTGTTTGACATCGGAATGTGTTGTCATTCAGTTTAGTGTGGTTGACATCGGAATGTGTTGTCATCCATTTCATCTCGTTTGCTTGACATCGGAATGTGTTGTCATGCATTCATCTCGACTTGGTTGACATCGGAATGTGTTGTCATCCATCTCATTTCATCTGTTTGACATCGGAATGTGTTGTCACTCAGTTCAGTTTGCTTACATCAGAATGTGTTGTTAGGCATTCACCTCATCTGTTTGACATCGGAATGTGTTGTCATTCAGTTTAGTGTGGTTGACATCAGAATGTGTTGTCATCCATTTCATCTCGTTTGCTTGACATCGGAATGTGTTGTCATGCATTCATCTCGACTTGGTTGACATCGGAATGTGTTTCATCCATCTCATTTCATCGTTTGACATCGGAATGTGTTGTCATTCAGTTTAGTGTGGTTGACATCGGAATGTGTTGTCATCCATTTCATCTCGTTTGCTTGACATCGGAATGTGTGTCATGCATTCATCTCGACCTGTCTGATATCGGAATGTGTTGTCATCATCTCTTCTGCTTGACATCGGAATGTGTTGTCATGCATTCATCTCCACCTGTTTGACATTGGAAGGTGTTGTCATTCAGTTCTGTTTGGTTGACATCGGAATGTGTTGTCATCCATTTCATCTCCTCTGTTTGACATCAGAATGTGTTGTCACTCAGTTCAGTCTGCTTGACATCGGAATGTGTTGCTCTTGCATTCATCTCCTCTGTTTGACATCGGAATGTGTTGTCATTCAGTTCGGTTTGGTTGATATCGGAATGTGTTGTCATATATTTCATCTCGTCTGCTTGACATCGGAATGTGTTGTCAGCTTTCATCTCATCTGTTTGATATCGGAATGTGTGTCACTCCGTTCAGTCTGCTTGACATCGGAATGTGTTGTCTTGCATTCATCTCCTCTGTTTGACATCAGAATGTGTTGTCATTCAGTTTAGGGGGTTGACATCGGAATGTGTTGTCATACATTATCTCGTTTGCTTGACATCGGAATGTGTTGTCAGCATCCATCTCCCCTGTTGACATCGGAATGTGTTGTCATTCAGTTTGGTTTGGTTGATATCGGAATGTGTTGTCGTCCATTTAATCACATCTGCTTGACATCGGAATGTATTGTCATGCATTCATCTCAATCTGTTGACATCGGATAATGTTGTCATCATTCCATCTCATCTGCTTGACATCGGAATGTGTTGTCATGCATTTATCTCGTTCTGTTTGAACTTCGTATGTGTGTCACACATCATTTTCCCCTGTCTGACAAATCGAATGTGTGGTCACTCGTTCCTTCAATCATTATGTTTTCGAGCTCCCTTCAATCCATGTTTCACTTACACTCATTTTCCCCAGCAGTCCTCCGCAATGAGGCTATAACTATTATCCATCACTCCATCCTTTGTTTAAGGCAAGTTTTCTAGGGTTAGAATTTAGCATCTCTTTCTTCTATTTTTTTTAAAAAGCTTTTCAGGATTTTTGTGTATAAAAATGACGGTGTTTCAGTCTTTGCCGCTCAATTGCCAGCAATCTCCGACAAAGAGGGGCAACTGTTGAACACCCCATTTTTACACCCCTTAATCATTTTATTTTTTATTTTTAATTTGTAATTTAATTTTAGTATTCTTTATTTTATTATTATTATTTATTTTGTTTTATTATTTTATTTGAGTGTCCGAGGTTTTAGACCCGAGAGAGAGAGAGAGAGCCCATTACCTCTAAAGGCCCAAAGCCAAGCCAATTTCCCGAATCCACTTTTTACTTCCATAGATAAACACCTTAAGGTGTTTAAACCTAAAAAAAAATGGAATTCTTCTCTAGGAAATCAGCCGCAAGCTCCATCTCCTTCAGATTCATTTCCCCAGCAAGCTTCACCAAGCCGGCGATCCCACGCAGCAGCGCTCTCGCCTGTCCACTCGCCTGAGCTCCTTCTCCATCGCCATCTCCCTTCATCATCGGCGAGATTCGGCCAGTTCAGGTCTCAATCCTTCCTCTGCTCACCTCAGTAGAGTCCTCTCTCCCATCTCACCTCCGTCACCGGCACGATGAAAGCTCCGACGAGCTGCATCAGTTGCAGCGCACCAGCAAGCAGTTGTGCCTACCGCCTTCACCATCGTGTCTCCAATTGCCTACAAATCCCATTGCTGCCGCAACCCTCTCCTTCATTTCTCTCGATCAGTCCACAATCGTTGGAGCCGCCGCCATCATCACTTCCAGCTCCGGCCAGTTCTCCTCCCGTTATTCTCATCAGATATGAGATTCATTTCAGATCTGATCCATGTTCGGTCGCACATCAGCAGCAGCCTCTCTCAAGCCGCTCTCCCACTCTTCTCTCTCCGGGTGAGCAGTAGCTTGTTGATTCACCCAGTTTCTTTCTCCGGCGAGGGAGTTCAGTAGCTTCAAGTCGGCATCAACTCCATTTCTTGTCACAGTGATCTCCTTTGATCTAAATACTGGAACTGAATTCAAGAGATATAGATCTCTAATTCCATCTCAACCCTTGGCCAGCAGATCTAACCATTGCAACTACCACCCCGTTTATTTTGGGGGATGAGTGATATTTTATCAGCGTCATCAAGCTCCGAACGAGTTTCGAAACCTCCGGCAAGTAGCACTTTTCTCGGTCTGTAGATCTCAAAGATCTTAGCTCCAAACATCACTAATACTGAAGATCCCTTTCTATTTCCAGCAATAGCTTGATCTCCAACGGCAGACCACCATCGCAGACCTCTCTTGCTTTCATCTGAGCAAGAGAAACGAGGAGACAAGGACCACTATTGTCTCCGGCGAAGCTCGATCACTTATAAGCCATCGATCTGATCTGTGGAGGAAAGAAACCTCACCACAGCCCAGTAGTCGCCCATATAATACCCGATTCCGACGAGCTTCCAACTCTTCTTCGATTTTCCAATCCGGCAGTAGAGAGCTCTCTTATCCCTCTGTTCTTTTACCTCTGTGGCAGCACCCTGGGTCATCGATCATATTCACTCCAAGCCGCAACCCTCGCGGGTATGATATCTACCTCTATTAATTTGCTTATTTTATTTTTATTTCTTTGATTTCTGTTTGTGGGGTCATTTGATGAGGCATGTTTAAAATTGAAAATCTGAAGCTACGGATAGTAGATCCGAAATCTGTTTACAATTTTCCCTTGTTTGCTATGAATGATCTAAAATGGTGGGGAATTATGGATCTCATTTGAATCCATTGGGCCTTTGGATCACGGCATCGTTAGTGAGTTGGAAGCCCGTGAGCCCCTAGAATCATTTTAGAATTTTGGGCTTACCTCTTAAGGCCTTAGAATGATAGTGGACCAAAGCCAATTGACCATTAGTGGTCAATGGGCCTTGGCCCATTAACCTTCTCTTTTGGGCTCCGTATGTATGTTTTATATCATGTATATGTGTGTACAATAGGTTTAGGCCGTTTCCTTTCTGTCCGATTTGCCTACCTTGGGCACTAGTAAACTTATCAAAAATAAATAAAAATACAAAAAATAATCGAAAACTACAAAATAACAAAAACATTTAAAAAAAAATCTAAAAGAAATCTACCCTAATATAGTGGACGCCCCCTAGAGCTCCCCCACGAGCACCTAGCTACGCTGCCATCTCCCGGAGGAGATTCATAAATCTCATTCCACTTCCCCTCCCCCAACTCAAACACGAAGTGGAAGTGATCACATCCCGAAACGAGTATAAAAACAGTCACGGACCTAGAATACTAGAGTTGAGGGTCCCAAAAAGGAATATAAGAACCCCAAGCCCAGAGTTCCGACTAAACCGGGATAAAAAGTAGGCAGCCCAATCCGGGTTCGACCCCATAACCAAAGTGAGGGAGAACAAAACAACAAATCTTTTTTTTTTTTGATTTCAGATTAGCAACAAGAATAAAACAGCAAGGAATGTTAAGATTTTGTTTCATGTTGGTGACAAAGAAGACATCGCAAAGAAGCCGAATGACCTAAGCGTAGGTACCATCATCGGATGGAGGTCCTGGGGGTGCCGAACCCCCTTCCCCCGGACCCTAAAGGGATCCCTTACCTAGACTATTTTGGACCGTAGACCCCCTCATTGGGATTATCGGGATCCTACTTCCCTAAGCGGTGGCGACTCTTAAAAAGAATTTAGCGTTATTCCTCTACTCGGACCTAAAAGGCCACCGAGTATTCGACAAAACTTAGAGTTGAGAGGGGAGGAAAGGCGGTAAATTTTATGCGTTACAAATGACAAGAGTTCTCGGGGTTCTGCTAGGCAGTTTCGACAATGATCCTTCCGCAGGTTCACCTACGGAAACCTTGTGACGACTTCTCCTTCCTCTAAATGATAAGGTTCGTGGACTTCTCGCGACGTCGCCGGCGGCGAAACCGCCCACGTCGCCGCGATCCGAACACTTCACGGCCCATTCAATTCGTAGGAGCGCCCACACTCACGCCACCCTCCACCCCACCCCCCACGGCACCCACACCTCCCCCGACTCTGCGGTGTGTACAAAGGGCAGGGACCGTGTCAACGCGAGCTATGATGACTCGCGCTACTAGGAATCCAGCCTCGTTGAAGACCAAAATCATTGCAATGATCTATCCCCATCACGATTATGAATCAAACTTGTCAAAGATTACCCGGGCCTGTCGGCCAAGGCTATAGACTCGTTGAATACATCAGTGTAGCGGCGCGTGCGGCCCAGAACATCTAAGGGCATCACAGACCCTGTTTTGCCTCAAACTTCCGTGGCCTAAAACGGCCATAGTCCCTCTAAGAAGCTGGCCGTGGAGGGTCACCTCCACGTAGCTAGTTAGCAGGCTGATGGTCTCAGTTCGTTAACGGAATTAACCAGACAAATCGCTCCACCAAAACTAAGAACGGCCATGCACCACAAGCCCATAGAATCAAGAAAGAGCTCTCAGTCTAGTCAATCCTTACTATGGTCTGGACCTGTAAGTTTCCCCGTGTTGAGTCAAATTAAAGCGCAGGCTCCACTCTGGTGGTGCCCTTCCGTCAATTCCTTTAAGTTTCAGCCTTGCGACCATACTCCCCCCCGGAACCCAAAAACTTGATTCTCATAAGGTGCCAGCGGAGTCCTAAAAAGCAACATCCGCTGATCCCTGGTCGGCATCGTTTATGGTTGAGACTAGGACGGATCTGATCGTCTTCGAGCCCCCAACTTTCGTTCTTGATTAATGAAAAAATCCTTGGCAAATGCTTTCGCAGGGTTCGTTCTTTCCATAATCCAAGAATTTCACCTCTGACTATGAAATCGAATGCCCCCGACTGTCATTTACTCATTACTCCGATCGAAAAGGCCAACGTAAATAGGGACCGAAATCCTATGATGTTATCCATGTAATGTATCCAGAGCGGAGGCTTGCTTGAGCACTTAATTTCTTCAACGTAGTAACAGCACCCTGGAGCACGACCGGCCAATAAGGCCAGGAGCCGCATCGACGCGGTAGAAGGACGAGACGACAGGGCACACCCAGAGGCGTCGGAACGATGGGTGTGACCCAACCAAGGTCCAAACTACGAGCTTTTTAACTGGCCAACAACTAAATATACGCTTATTGGAGCTGGAATTACCGCGGCTGCTGGCACCAGACTTGCCCGCACAATGGATTCTCGTTTAAGGGATTGATTGTATCATCCAAATACCAGACTCGAAGAGCCCGGTATGTATGATGTCACTACCTACCAGTGTTAGGATGGGTAATTGCGCGCCTGATGGCCTTCCTTGGATGTGGTAAGCCGTTTCTCAGGCGACTACTCCGGATCGAACCCTAATTCTCCGTCACCCGTCACCACCAAGTAGGCCTCTATCCGGACCATCGAAAGTGCTAGGGCAGAAAGAAATTTGAATGATGCGCGCCAGCACAAGGGCTGTGCGGAACGTCGAGTTATCATGAATCATCGGAGCAACGGGCAAGCCCGCGCGACCTTTGATTAATAAATGCATTCCCTTACAGAAGCGGGCGGTTTGTTGCACGATTAGCCTAGAATTACTACGGATCCGGAGTAGCAGATACCTCAAACAAACTATAACTGATTTAGGAGCCGATTCGCGTCACAGTCTGAAAGTTCCTACTACACAGGCAGGCTCATCTTTGAGACAGCTAGAATACGGGCCGGATCAACCAGGGTAGCATCTGATGAGACTCGGCACGTATGAGCCTCACAAAGTATCAACTTGGCCACTCAAGACGAGCCCAGACTGGTCTATGTCGAGTGCGACAAACGCAACAAGGAGCAAATAGAGGAGAGAGCCCCTGCCACAAAATATTTGCACCCCACATAAGTACGTGCAACACAATATGACCAAGTTCAACAACACTTGATGCGCGACATGGACACACGAGCAATGGCATAAGGGCCACCCAACACCACCAAAAAGTGAGCCGGAGGCAAAACGCTTCATTTAGGGAACGAGTCCATCAATAGGTAAGCAACACAGGAACCAAGCTACGGAACAAGGTACAAGTCCGCTTGGGACATTGGGAAAAGGCCGGGGTGAGTGGTTCACTGCACCAAACAGGGAGGCCCACAAACGAAACACGAACCAGAGCCACTATGCCGATCCGTATGGTAAGGTATGCCAGCAATGAAACGCAACCCACACAACTTTTAAATAAGCACGAACACAGAAACACAAAACAGAGGAATACAAACAATCCGTTAGTGGCGAAAATCTATAAGCCACTTAATGCTAGCACAAGAAATGCAAAGCTAGCCATGAAGGAGATGGTAAGGTGAGGAAAACGCAACAAGGGGAAGGATGATCGCTGGCCAGATGAAATTGGGTCATTCATGGGGGGCTAGGTGCCATCAAGTGAAACCGAAACATAGAATGGGCAGCCCAAACAAGCCGAAGGCTTGGGCATGTGAACTAGGGGCCAAAGCCAAGCAAGTCACAGTAGAATGCTTATACTTAGGCGAGGCCAGACTGGTGCAACTGACCAAATCCAAAAGCATTGAGTAGGCAGCCTAATCATAGGCCAAGCAACAGGCATGTGAAGCCATCCAAAGGGAAAGCGTTGCAACATGAGGGAAACAGAATGGCAAAGACAAAATGGGGAAGAAATTGCATCAGAAAGCACTAGGGTGGGACCAACAATGGGAAATGTGAACGCATGGTTGGGGTTGGGAAACATAAACAAGGCAACCCAAAAGACATGGGTTTATATTGCCCAAACAATCGCACGGCTTGGGCAGGTGCAACTAGGCCAAAAGCCAAGAAGAACAGTAGATTCTATGCTATACTTAGGCAAGGCAGCGTGTGCAACAAGCCAACTCCAGAGGCATACTAGCAGCCTAATCAAGCCAAGAAACAGGCATTTGAAGTGAGTCAAGGGAAGGAGTTGCTACAGCCATTTGGCAAAGGCAGGCGGGACGGGCCGGGGGGGGGGAGAGAGACAATCGGATCAGGAACCCAACAACCAAGGTGAAAAAGGAACGGGCGTCAATGGTTAGCTGTACAAACAGGTAGCCCACAACGCAACGAACCACACGAGCACCAGGCCCGTCAGTTCGCAGCCTATGCCTCAGTAACACGAATGCGCCGCACCAAACTTTTCAGTAAGGCAAAAACACAGAAAACACCAAACCTAGAATTACAAGCAATCCGCTTAGTGCGTACGGCTAAGCCATCATAACCCTTCTGCCTAAGGCCCAAACAAAGCCGATCAGGAAGGAGACTGAGCCACCTTATGAAGCATCGAAGTCAATAAATCATCGCGGGGCACAAAGTAGTGACGACGGAGAAAGAGACTGACGCACCTTATGGCCAAGTCAATCCATAATCATGGGGGCCCAAAGCAAGCGCCCCGGAGGAGACTGATGCACCTTTATGAGCATCGAAGTCAATCCAATCATCGCGGGGGGCCCAAGTAAGCTGTCGGAAAGAGATGATGCACCTTTCGCGCACGGAATCAATCCATCATCGCAGGTTCCCAAGCAAGCGCTCCGGACGGGGATTAGGCCCTTTCTGAGCACGAATCCAACATCATCGAGGTGGCCCAAAGCCAAGAT